ATTATATAGATTTACAATGTATATCTTCACAAAATCTGGCAAGCTTTTAGTAAAATTACATGTCTTAGATTTGTTAATAAAGTATTTTTGCTAATAATCTGTCTGAATTTCAGAGGCCTCTACTAAGTAAATACCAGTGAAAAGTGCTTTTCAGGCTAAGAATAAGAATACTTCTTTTCATTTTTATAATCTCTAGAGCATCCTAAATGAATATCTATAGTTTCTTACACAGTTAACTTTATATTTTTATCTTTTATAGTTTCTTTTTCTAACCTAACACAAACTGTAGCAAAATCATCAATGAATAATAAAATTTAAAGTTCAAAAATATAAAATAAAATTAATATTACCATTTTTCCTATCATTTACTCCAGTATTGATAAGAAATATCCAAATTAAGTATCTTAGATTAACCTTTTTTGCAGTTAATTACTTTACATTTTATGGTTTTATTGCTGTAGTTTGGACCAAGTAAAAAAAAAGCATGGAAAAAGCAATAAGTCACTAGATCAAACTAGTATAATATTCAATGTGTTATTTAACTGCAGTTTTGTTAGGTTAAACTGAGAAGTTTATAATTTTTACATTTTAGTTACTTTAGTTAAAGAAGATATAACAAGAAGAAAAAAAGAATATATATAAAATTAGGATTTATAGGACTCACTATGTACTCAAGACAGTTTGCACTTTAGTATATGTTCTTTCATAGGCTTTGTTGAATCTTACAAACTTGGGTATCCACAAAATAATTTGTGTAGCTTTCAAGTATACATTTTAAAACACAAAAATAAAATAGTATAAAATGCCCCAAAACTGCTATAATTTAATCAGCTTTCCAAGTAAGGTATAAGTAGGTTAAAACAATTCCTTTTGTACATTCAGAGCAGCAAAATATGATCACCACAAACTACACAATTCCATTGAATAATGATATATGGCAGGAAAACTAAATAACAACTTGAAGATTTATGTAGAAAAGAATCTGCTACTTCTATCGGTTATAAATACATCCATCAGCAAGTAAAGTTGATTAGCAAACAATCTCAAATTCACAGGTTCGTTTGATAAATTTCTTGATATGTTAGCGAATCAAGAAGATAAACTGTTCAAATTTTAGATTCTTGCTTTAATTATGTATAATGTGTTTCTAGTTGGTAAGATACTGTAGCTTCCTATTTTTGATATTAGAGAATTCTGAAATGAAGAAATTGGAGCTCAGACACATTATGTGACACAGAAAAACAATGACTGATAATTTTTTAACATTTATTTTTATAATTATTAAGCTAAAACTTGGTTAACATGCAAAGTTGAATTATAAATTATGTTTCTATGCTAAGTTTATTAACATATTGATAATAAAGTTATTTAATTAAATTTTTAACCTTATAACAATGACATGCTTCAGACTGAAGCATGTGGCATCTGTTAGGGGATGACAAAATTTATTTCTTGTTTCAACTGCATTCAGTGACAGCACTTTGAAATATATGTGTAAAAAAGGCAAGTAAATTACATTCTCATCTAAACTTACATGTACATGACTACCCCCTTATGCTTCAAGTTATACTTTGCCAAATTTCGACATTGTTTATAGCTGGTGCATCATGTGACACAAAACTGGGAGATTTCGTTATTGCTTTCAACGATTCTTTTGAAATAAAGGAATAAAAACTAAGATAATATAAAACTTTGAATTGTAATGTACCTGATAATAATAATTTCATTAAAATATACTGAAAATAGTGTTGAATTAAATTTTGACTGTAACTCAGTGACATGCACAGAAGTTATAATTTTCCTATACTGAAAATGTATTTCCGATAGCCACTTACCTCAACTCACATAAATAGCTATTCTCATTCAGTGCTGCCCTCTATAAGCTAAAAAAATTTTTTTGCTTGCCACAATCCTTGAAACTCCCACAAATCTGGAATGATTAAGTACAATGCATCTTGCATGCAAATTATCATGTGACAAACCTCCACCAATAACACACTCTTGACACATGAGACTCCTTCTATTCACTTCTACCGGTGTGAGGGAAAGAAAAAAGCATCTTTCGAAAGCGTCCTAAGGATACAAGATCTGCAGAGTTGAAGATCATACATGGGAGACTGCACCGTTTCTGAACAAGGTATACTCTTCACCCATTATAGAAAGATGTTGCACATATGGGCGGAAGGATGGAAGAGAACATTCAAATGGGAGAGAACTATGGTAGGATAGTGATCCGAACCATACATTATTTATTGAACTCAATCCCTGAAAACATAAAAGTAGGTAAGATTAACCCTATTGCCCCAGGTACCCTTTACTGCGCATGACACAAGGTTTTAGTGTCTTACATTAACAATTTTATTAAACTACTTTTTGTTTATGCTATACCAATTAGAATAGCATAAAATCTTAGCTAACAATCCATATTTCAATAGTAAACAAGTTTTAAGTTCTTAATT